CCCAAAACCCCAAAACCCCAAAACCCCTTAATGTTAAATTGAATGATCTTAAGCAAAGGCTAATCTTTTATTTAAGTTAAAAATTGAATTATTTTATTTAATGTCTAACATTGGATAGGTATAAAATCAGGATATCTCTTAGCTCTACTCTTTTTCTTTTAATCAGCCTTTAAATGATTTGAACACTTTTACAGGCAGATTCATCCATTTATAGAGACAAACAGATCCAAGAAATTTTTTCATTTCAAATCAATAATTAGAGGAAAGCAAAAAATTAGTAGAAAACTATAGATAAATGGAGATTGCTAAATAAAATCCATTGATGTTAAATAAAGCTGAATTCAATAGATTAGTAAGAGCTCAAAGCATAGTTGACTCTTCAATATCAAAGGATAATGGAGAACAGATACCGAGATTTATGAGAATGTGTGCCTTTGTCCCTGTTAATGTGCCAATTCTTTTTGGAATGATACTGAGTCCACCAAGCACAGCAAATACCATATTCTGGCAATGGTTCAATCAATCATTTAATGCAGGACTGAACTATGGGAATAGGAATTCTTCAAGTAAATACACTAATAAGGATTTAATGTTTGGATATTCAGCTGCAGTTGGATCATCTGTTTCTACAGCTCTTATTTTAAGAAGGATATTTGGGAGATTTACTGCTAAAATTCCCAATAGTTCGCCTAAGCTTATTCTGATTAATGCTCTTGTTGCATCTATTGCTGGTGGTACTGCTAGTTTCCTTAATACTTTCTGCATGAGGCAAGCAGAAATGAATAATGGAATCGAATACTTTGCTGATGAGGAGCTTTAATAAAAATTAGGAGTATCACAATAGTGTGCAAGAAAAGCAATCATTGAAACTGCTTTTTCAAGAGTATTCCTATCAATATCATGTCTTATGACTCCTGCTTTTATTTTTTATGCTATCGATAGATTAGGTAAAAGCCCAAAAGGTAAATTTAAGATACCCTATGAAGTTGGAGTATTTCTATTTGCTCTAATGGTTAATTTGCCAGCAAGTATTGCTATGTTCCCAACTACAGGGAGTATCGATATTTCAATTCTTAAATCAGAAAACGAAGAAATTCAAAATTAGGTAAAAGGTAATAGAGTCTATTATTATAAGGGACTTTGAAACTACATATGAAGATATTAAATTCATTGATATTAAAAGACTAACTAAATATCATCAGCAAATACTTTACAAAAAGTTTCATGGGGTTTTGGGGTTTTGGGGTTTTGGGG